ACTTATAGAGGTGAACTTCGACTTGTAGAGATCTGGCTACTTTAAATTCGAGTTGCAGAGGTAAAATAATACAGCCGAACCTTGATAACTCGAATCTCAAAAGAAGAGAAAAATCCTTCGAGTTGTAGAATTTTCAACTTATCAAAATTCGAGTAAAAGATGGTTCAAATTTGAAAATTCGACTTACGGAGACTTTGTACGAGAGTTTATAATTTTCCAATTATAATGGCTTTTAAAGAAGAAGAAATCAATATTTGCCAGTGATTATTTATTGCATACATATAATAAATGTAATAAAACAAAATACCAGGCTAATAACTCATGGTTACACACAGCTTCAACTTCGAATTATAAAGGACGCGATAATAGAAGTTCAACTTGTAGAGGTCTAGCTACTTTAAATTCGAGTTGCAAAGGTAAAATAATACATCTAAATATCTGACAAATAATTCGAGTTAAGGTAGGTTTCATTTTGATTAATAAAAGTTTTCCGTAATGGAGCGAAAGGGAATGAACAAAATTTTCGTTTTATAGAGGTTTTCGAGTTGTAGAGGTTCGAGTTATCGAGGTTCAACTGTAATAGCCAGGAAGGAAATAATTGCCATTGGGCATATGTGTGGTTTCGCGATCCCCGGGGAAAGCGCAAAAATTCACGCGCGCGTTCGGAACTCAGTTAGCGAATCAACACATCACACCTGTGAATTTCTTACCTCGTTTTTTTCCGCCAATAAAATGCCGTTGACCAGGGCTATCACCAGCACGCTGATCGCCGTGCAGACGTAGAAGTACACGCTCCTAGAGGGACAAAGGGGGAGGCATCTTTAACACAATTCTTCACGAGTCTCTTTTTCGCGCGAAACTTTTCGAGAGCATCGTCATCGGATTTGTGTCGTCTTACACTGACTTATCGAACGATTTTCACAGAAGTGTCCATAAATATTGGAACGAAGGACAATTCGACGCTCGTAAAGAATGAGCGGACTTTACGCATCTCGGGTCTCGGGAGCGTAGTAAAAGAAAGATACCGCTCGCCGTTATATAAAAGGTATAGGGATTTATTGGCACACGTGTATTTACCCGGCGAGGGTGATGGCTATTGCGACCACAACGACCATGTAGACGAAGCCGGAACACACGAAATAAGCCGAGAGCATCCTGTCCCTCTCGCGCGAGTACTGCAACAGGTTATGAAAACAATTGCGATAATTGCGCGCTTCGCTAATTCCTCCACGTTTTTCGTACGACCATATCTGTTTACGCTGCCAACAAACGCGCTTTTAATCGATTACCATGGGCAATTTCGATGGGCGAGCTTTCTTCTCCCGACGAGAAAATGCAGAATTACCGCGTTAAATCGATTACGACGCGCAATTCAATCCGCGGAATCCGAATAATCCAAATGCACGCTTAGCGAATTAACCAAAATTAAATTTAAACGACCTTCCATTAATGTGAATTACCACGTCGATTGGTCACGTTCAATTGTATACGCGGACAGTTCAGCACGCAATTACAGCTCGTATTTCGCCCATAATGTTACTTCTGTTAAATTAATTAAATTTCTAAATTTCTATTTAGGAAGGTCATTTGTAAAATATTATGATATTCTAAATAGAATTTTTATGCACAAGTTTGATAATAATTTTAATATAACGTATACTTTAAAGAAATTAAGAATTTTTATACACAAATTTGGTAATAATTTTAATATAACGTATACTTTAAAGAAATTAAATTACAATTTAGTATATTTATTTTCATCAAACGCGAGAAAGATATTAAGATAAAATAAAATTAGAACTGAAAATGTTTTATAACAAATTCGGATATATTTTGCGATAATCTATGCCTAAATTTCAAATCGAGGTTTATTCATCATGTAATTTACTGTACCTTTTCTTCGACATCCGGTCGTCGAAACGTCAATATAAACGGCGTACAATGTTCCGCTCTCAATCGATCTATGCTTCTAGCATCGATCGCTCTCATCAGGTACTCGTTCACCTCATCTTCGGGATCTTTTTCGCCCTCGATGGTTTCACCGAAGCCTAATCTACTGAAACATATGCAGCAGGTGATATCCAATTAAAAAAATACTGTCGTAAAGCTTTACTCGATGCCTTTTATTTATATAAGAAAAAACTGCTTTTTTCAAATTGCTGAGAAAAAACCAGAAAAATTTCGATTTCTTTCCAAAAAATTGGTTTTTTTGCAAAAAATTGCTATGTAAATGATATACTACCTAATTTTTAATATTTTTCATTATATTAAATATGAATTGGGATTCAAAAAGTAATGTAAGTGATTTATTTTAATTTACTCGTTAAAATGTGGAAATTTTTTATTTAAATTAGATATAAGCTTACACTTTCATAAGTTATAACTCTCGTATTTTATAGCATTATTAAAATAAGATACCTCGTATAAACGCTGGAATCAATAATGAGTTAATTTTTATGTTTACATTTGAGAGTATATTCCTTGAGGTGAGGATTATTTATTATTAAATAAACTGTTTTAGGAAACGCAATCCTAACAATTAGTGTAAAGATTATAATTTAAATTGATATTTATATTAAGTATTTTTAAAGAATTCTGATTATTAATAATTGTCAAGAGCCATACATTTTATTTAAAAAATACATTAACTTTGTTTTTTTATTTATTCTTATGTAATTTGCTTTTTATTTCTTTAGTGTTTAACATTATCAGCAATAAATATAAGCTTGTTATAAAATTTTTAAATTTGAAAAGTGTATCAAAGTGTTGCGAATGTAAAATGTGATAGGTTTTACAAATACGTACGTGAGATTTTTCATTGAATTTTTCTACCCTTTGGGAAAGAAGCCCAAAAAATCCGCGAAAAAATTGAAAAAAAAATCGGTTTTCTTTCCAGCCTTTAAAACTATACTTTTATATGATATCAATTGTTCTAATATATTGTAACACTTGTTACGAGTTAATTATGTTATTTTAATCGACTTATTATTACGATACAAGTACGATTTTTTTATTTTACTCGTCACTTATTTTTTTTGGGATGGACATTAATTTATCTAATAATTGTAAATTGAAAACACAATAGTAATATGGGGGCGTTGCATACAGGATGGTTTATTTATCCTGTTTTGTCCTCGTTGTGATTTTGGGTAGCGCTAAAAGCAGGAATTTTAAAAATCTTTTTTTTACGACCGACATGCTGCCAACCGAAGGTTGTTTGCTTTGCGCTTGGAGCGCGTGAGCCACTTCCAGTGTAGGAGCGTTTCAGATGATCACACTGCTCAGTGTGTTGGATTAATCTGTTTTGTATCTATGAGCTGAAATATATTGCAAGTGTTTTTTTTTTTTAATAAGTGATTCATCTGGATAAATTTTTTTCCAGTTACTTACATTACATTAATTTAAAAAATTGATTTTCTCGAGGTCTTGTTTCAAAAATCCTTTATTTATTTCAGCTAAAAAAATATATAAAAAACATAGAAAAACATAAAATGACGCGCATCGCACTATAAGTCATTTATAAATAATTCAAATATATCCAGTGCAACTGCTCACTAAGAGGCCAAGTACAGCAATAACTAAGAACAAATTCTGTCGCCTCTAAAAATTTACTGCCCTAGAATTATAACCCGCCCATTCCGTATCTTAATCCGGCACTGGCAATGCCCCTAGACAATGTAACATTGACAATGTAAATTTGACGATTGTTCCCTAATTGCCACAAAATTATAGGTAAGAATTAAGTGTTTCGTAATGCTGGCGAATTTTCGGAAATTATTTAAGTGAAGAGACCGTAATATATTGCAGCATTTTAATGTCAAGGGTGGTTTCAAGAGTTAAGATAATGCTAAATAATAGATGAGCTCTTACTTGCTATGTTTTCCATGCTGCGAACCGTGACCCATAACCCTCATTTCCTTGGACACATTACCATTTGCCGGGAAGGTTTTTCGCATTCCGGAACTTATGTTGTCCTTAAATGTATCTCCCGGGACAATCAAGTAGGTCCTGATGTTATGATCCTTTAAGTACGCGTTCCTCTCGCCCCCGCGGCCCTCCTCGACCTCGTAATACCCGCCCAGGCAATCTAGGGTCTCTTTCGTGACGTGCACGCGGCTGCGAAGCACCATACCCTTCATTAAATATTAACTTCGTCGAGTGTAATTGGTCGACATGAAGAAAACTGTTCTTTAATATAACTAGGACGATATACGATTTTTTTTATTTATTTAATAATTATGCGCTTAGAAAAGGGACGGAAATGTTTTATATACGAATCGAAGTTAAGCGCGCAGAAATTATACACGTAGTATACCGACGTAATTTATCGTCGTCAATCGAGACTATAACTTGAAGAGGGTAAGTCAGTCAAGAGGCCTGACAAACTTCAAGCAAAATTGCTTGTATACTCACCCGGGTATACCTCCGCTTTCCATGTAATTGGCTAGGGTCACATCGTTGCTCCAAACATCAAACTGCCATTTTCTCAGTCCGAGGACCCCGCAGTGTACTCGACCCGTGTGGATACCGACTCTCATATTCACGTTTACGGCCATTACCTCGCGAACCAATCTACGGGGTTGCGAAACGGCGAGAATTTATATATTGCAGCTCCTCCTATCATTAGGCGTGAGGTGGTAGATGGATTATATAACTACTTGTCCGAGTTTGCGACAACAAACAGGCGAAACTTTATCGCCATTAGGTGTACTCGTACAGCGGTTACTTCGGCGTTCGAAGCCTTTTCAACTATTGGAAAAGTTGTCAGGTATTTTCATTATTAACGAAATCGGAAGTAAAATATTTATATATAAATATTTGACCTCCTTCGCAACAAAGTTAGCCTGCTTCTTAGCTGGTCCCTAATTATTTTCTTTATTTGCGCGTTTATTCGTACAATATGCCGTGCGTTAAGTTTTGCGGGAAACTGTTGCGGTCGCGGGATGAAGCAGCGGCAAGTTCGACTAACAAGTAAACCTATCTTTCCATATGGCTCGCTGAATTTAACGAAACTTGATACGTTTGTAGAGTAGTCAAAAATAATAGACCCGTTTTTTTTTATATCGGCAATGGTGCAAGTTTAAAGGTGCAAACTACTTCTTATAATGATAAGCACAAGTATTTAATTTTTTTGCATTTTTGCTTATTGTGTTAGAGACTTCTGAATTTTGGAGATGATAAGAGGTTTCCATGTTTCGCTTTCAGAAAACATAAAATTTATCATCTTAAAAATTCAGAATAAGTCTTTAACACAATTAGCTAAAATGCAAAAAATTAAATACTTGGTAAAGTAAATCTATTGTAAAAATTATAGAATTCAAAATGGCATATCCAACATGGTGACCGGCCAAACAATCTTATCTCGCTCTTTGCCGAATTTAACAGGAATAATTGACGAGGAAATTATAAAAACATAAAAAATATTTTAAAATAAAAAACGAAAGCAAAAAAATTAAATAGCGCGAGTCTATCGCCATTTAGTTTTTTTAATATGTAATTTTTATGTTTTTGTAATTTTTCTTATATTTTGTACAAAGAGTGATGGGAAGAAGACCTGTTTTTCTCCTATTTTTTGGGTTTCAAATTTCAAACTTTTTTTATGCCAAATAGTACCTATTATGGAGTGTGCATTAGTTTTGAGGGATTTTTTTCTCAAAAATTGATTTATTATACGAATACCTTAATGACCGTAATCAAAATATTTCCCTTTGTTTTCTATAACTTTTTCTGGCAAGAGATGGATTCCGCGACGATAAAAACATTTTTCTTCGGATACAATTTTTTCAAATTTTCGCATTTTTTCGAAATTATGAAAGTGTGTATCCTCTAGAGCACATATGTTGTATCGATCGGAACAAGAGATAATCAGCGGGGTGCGGTAAGACTTCCCATTTCAGCTTTAATAGCGTTTGCTTCACTAATAATGCAACATGAGGACGAAAATGCCGTTTATGAAACTCCATTTTTAAGATGATATAAACACGATGTTTACCGCGTCTATTGTTAGTAAATGATTAAATATCATGAAGTAATGTTAAAGCATTAAGAAACAATAGCTGTGTCTTCGACAACACCGACATTATCTTGCAAAACCTTTAAAACTAAATCACACTCCTAATATATATTATATTCTCAATATTACCAATGAATTTCAGCCACGCATTCTTCCTTATATGCAATACAACCTGACTGGAAATCATCACTTTCACCTCCTCCGGAACCGTGCTCATCTTGAAATTTTACTGCGATTAATGTTTCATCTAATAGTCGCCATAAAATCTACTATTTGCCATAAAAAAAAGTTTGAAATTCGAGGTCCAAAAAATGAGCGAAATTTGCCATTACTCTTTTTCTTATTTTTTCACAATTACGTCACTTCTCACCTGTATCTATTTTTTTATTCTAATTCTATATACTCATTGCAGAAATAATATTGAATTGAATTGCAGATTATTGTTTTAAAAATTGTGGAACTATCTGCGCATTATGTAATAATATAGCAGTCATAAAGTGCACTTGGTCTGCTTAATCTTTGTGCATACAAGAATTTTTTTTAATATCATTTCTGCAGAATACATAGAATAAAAATGAAAAAATAGCTATATAAGTAGGTGAGATTAAGTAGCATAATTGTAAAAAAATTTCTCAAAAATTATAAAAACATAAAAGCAAAAACAAAAAACTAAATGGGCATAGTTTCTTGCCATCTCATCGTCAGTTATTCCTGGGTTCGGCAAAGAGCGAGAT